TAAATAAGGTTTTTGTTGGTACTGTTTCTAAAAAGGGTGGCAATGGTCTTGTTATGTTACAATTTTCTTATGAGAGAACGACTAAAATTGTATTGGTCATGCATAGGCGGTGTCAGGGCACCTATGTTGGGAGGTAAAAAATAACCCCCCTTTTTGGACGCCTGGATCCGCCTATTATAGCAAAAACGTTTCAATAGAGGATGCACAATAACTTTGTATATGTTATCACATGATACCTTTCATTCACTGTTCGTAAAACTGGTGCAGCATCGTGATCTTCGCCCAAATGACTCGCTTCACGAATAGGACCCCCAATTCCCAGTGCTCTGGAGCCGCCCCTGGTAAAGTTATGAACTTGAAATTTTCAGGGAATGTGCCCAATTTAGTTTTAGGAAAAGTCAGAAAATTTCAGCATCGTAGCTTCAGCGGTTTCGGAGATATTCCCGAAAAACCTGAGGGGTGGATAAAAACAACCCCCCCCCCCCTGCCACTAATAGGGTTAACGTTGCGAGAGATATTCAACCATTTCCTACAATTGTAAATTAAAAGAATTCGGCTGACAAATGGTGTATTTAGCATAAAAATGGGATAGTTATCATTTTACTTCGATCCAGTACTTATGTACTTACAGTATGATTGCTGGTGTTTCGTGGATGGTTACGTTACGTTATGTGTATCTGACTCTGATCCGTTTCCGAAGCCCCTGAACCATGCATAAAACCATACATAAATATTTTAAATATTTTAGATTCAGCTCACTGCATTCGTTTGGCGTCGCTTCGTATGTTTTTGCTCAACAGCTCAATATTTCATAGAAATCGTTGATGTTTGTTCTTTTCTATCTGGAGCTTTTGTTTGTTTTCTTGCTCGCTGAATGACAATGACATCGTTTGGGAGAAGAGAGGAAAGGAGTAGTAAAAGTTATGACCTTTTGCTTAACATGTAGACCAAACATAGCCTGCGCATATCCGGTGGACCATTCAGAGTGGCGCGAACAGCATCAACTTCCGTGAACACAGGTCTTCCGGCTTTTTCCGTGTTCTATGTCCGAAAGCGTGGTGGGTGGCGGCTATAAATAGACACTGCTCGGGACGGTCATCGATCTGTGCGGGCACCAGTCTCGTCGGCGCCAGTACCGCGGCCGACGCGACGGCATCGACGGCTTAGACCACCGCTCGCGCTGGTCAGGGAAACGGTCCGGTCAGACCAATGCAGGTCGGGTCAGCGGTAGGATCAGACCGGTGGCTAGGTCAGTGGTCTAATAATATCGCTGATTATCAGGCTGGGAACGATCATATAAAACAAGCTCAGGGAAGGACGCCACGGTAATGTAACTGACGGCGTATTATTTTGCAAATTTATGGTATTAGTCTGGAGCTACTTCCCACACTTACGTAAAACAACACGCAGTTAAGGTCAGTGCTCCACCAGCACACTTGTTTGAACGTTTTTACCTCGAATATCATATCAATGATGGTCAGGTTTCAGAAAAGGGTACAGATTCATAAGATTAACGACAACTCCCGTCCGCTTGGAAAACAGAGGACGAAGAGAGTGAACGGCTTTTGATGTTCTTCAGAGCGTGATGGAGGTGGACGCAAAATTATAACCCGCGCCCTGCTGGGGGGGGGGGTGTTTGAACACCCCCCCTTGTGGTTTTTCGCGAATATCTCAAAAACGGCGGCGCGGAGCGCCGCCGTTTTTGGTACACCTTATCATACATCGATTCTACACATGTTGTGAAAATTTCAGACTAAGGTCATTCAAGGTCAGGTCACCAGGTCACTTGAAGTGACCTCACCTCATAAAAAGTTTCAATGTCTGTCATAGCTACACCGAGTAACCGATCGCTTTGAAACTTTCAGCGATTGCTAAGAGCAATAGCATGTACAAAATGTATATCTCAGAATTTTGATATCGATGACCTAAGGTCAGGTCAATTTTGCGACCTCCCCATTATAAGTCAATGGGAGAAAATTGAAATACGCCTCTTTTGGACGAAAGACATTATAAACACTCCCAAACACCGAATTACAAGTGGTTTAGACACACTGAACATGAAAATGGTGTCCTCGACCCTTGTTTGTGCCCTGAGGTCATCTTAGGTCACGAATGGTATCTAACAGTTTTTCGCTAATAACTTTTGATAGAGGCATGCTGGAGCGATGAAAATGCCTTAGATGTGTTCAGCTCGACGATACGGATCGACTGATATGCAACATGACCCTTTCCGGTCAGGTCATGACCTTGACCTGAGGTCAAATTTTCAAGTTGACCTTTCAAGGTCAAGTTATAGTTCATTCGATGCGCCTTGACGAGAGGAACACGATGCCGGTAAAAGTAAGCTCGTACAAGGCTTGGGTCAAAAGTTATTGCTGAAAAACTGTTTCCGAAAAAATCTGCTATTTTTGCAGTTTTTGCCCCCTGCAGGCAAAACCGTTGACGTTAGGTCAAATCTGAGAGAATTACTCAGAAAGGGCGTTTATAGGGCTATCGAATGCACTTTTCCGCGGCGCTGTAGCTCTATTGGTTCCCGAGTTATGCGTTGGCTTCTTGGAAATTTTCGACATTCGACCTGGAAATCGGCGAAATTTTGCCTTCAATGACCTCTGGTGACCTGACCTTTGACCTGACCAAAAAATTGACCGAAGTGATTTCGTCATTATTTTTTACGCTCTTTCGAACGCCGCCTTCCGCGTATCGCTACGTGGCCCAGGAGCCGAGTTACGAGGGGGGGTGTTCAAACACCCCCCCCCCAGCAGGGCGTGGAAATCCAGGACCCCCAGCCGGGCGCGGGATAATAGTGTTTTTTTCATCATCAATGGATTTCTTATCGAGATTCGGTAAAATGACACTTGAAATGGTTTGGCCACTGCATTAGGTGTATGAGCTCGAAAAGATGAATGATAAAAATGTTCCATGTTTTGTTCTTTGTCACGAAATTCTAATGGAAAATCTTTAAGTTGCAGATAAACTATGTTAAATTAAATCAACGAAACGGACTAGCACATCATATCTCCCACAACTTCAAATTCTGTACGACATCTTATCTCTTATCTCGCCACGTCGAAAGTTTATACCTCGTACATTCCCATCGATCACCGTAACAGGACAACGAAAAAACGCTGTACGTACACCAATCACAATTAACTTGACACAGCACAGCTGTTGGGGACCGACTCTCACAATGTCTATAGGGAGATAATTGAGCGTAATCACGCGAACACGCTAGCCTGATTGCCATTGGCCGGCAAGTACCGAGAATAGTCGTGGGGCCGTGGTATGGTGGACGGTTGCCATGCCCTGCACGTGTGCAGCGGAGGGGCACTGATCCGGTCAGCGCGCTGACCCCGGGCTGACGGCCGGTCAGTACGTGCTCAGTACGTGCTCAGCGCACCGTCTCCTGAGGTGAGCGGCCGACCTGGAGGGGGGGGGGGGGGGGGCACCACGCACGCCTCAAGTGCGCCGCGGATAGAGATAGACCGCGGCCGGACATTGACCGGCCGACGGCGCTGCACGCTGCAGCCTCTCTGGTTTGCCGAGAAGGTCGGAGTTCGAACTGACGCCTGACGGGTCCTAGACTCTCAGTTGGGGAGGTCTGGCCGATCTTTGTGGGTTGAGATGATTGAAAAGGCAATAGAGGCAGGCGGCAGCTACCAAAGGCCGAGCGCGGGCGGTAGCCAGTAGCCACCATAGGTCCGGGATGGTGTCCATTAACTATCAGCCACCATAGGTCCGGGATCGAGTCCATTAACTATCAGTCGCCATGGGGGAGGACGGGGTCCATTAACTATCACCCACCATAGGTCCGGGATGGACTCTCTCTGAAGCGGGGCTCGATGCCACAGGTGGTGGGCGGCTAAAGCGCCTATCCCCAGCTCGGCGGGAGCATCATCACAGATTACCGGCGGGCTTCTAAACAACCTGTGGAGCCTGCAACGCAGCACTTCAAAGCCGGCCCAATGACAACATAGGACAAAGTTCAAAGCGTCGATCTATACCGCTCACGCTGCCCTGAGTTTGGTAATGCTCGTTGGAACTGAACGGTTCGTAGGCAGATCACCTCTTAAGAAACTATGGAATTGTTTGGCACAAGAGCGGTATTTTTGGACTAAGTTTTACGACTTTTCTAAGATCTAAGCCCCAGTCAACTGCGCTTCGGTGCAGGGTGACGGTTCGTCCTGTGCTGTGTGCTGAGCCTGAGAAACGCCCGTCTCAGAGATCATCCCACGGAATGCCATACCGAAGCAAATATGAAAGCTCCGCCAGAGGCGCAAGATGGCTTCAATGCAACCGCATGGGGGCTTGATGTCCGTTTTGCTTAGTGTACCGTATATAAGAGCCTCAAGCCTGGCGGGCTGAAAATAGAACCCACACCGTGGAATCCATAACGGTGTTGGTCTTTTGATGAGTTGAAAATAGTTCTGAAAGCACCGTGCTCGGGGGCGATCGATGCGTGCACCCGAACAGTGGGCAAACAGCCGTAAATTGTCATCACGGCGGACGAATCTGACCGCTTCCCGTTGAACCACACATGCGAGCACCTCAGGCAGCAAACAGTGCTTATGATATTCAAAGTGCCCCCAATGGGCGGCCATGTTTAGACCCGTCCAGCCCGCTATCAAACCGAGTGAAGACATGCACGCCATAACTAAATACAGCCGTTCTGCACGTTATCAGCACATGTTCAGCATATGTGAGGCCAGTTGGAAGCGAGTCAGGCTTTAATGACGCACCATTTAACCGTTACAGTGACAGTGCATATGTGCATGCTAGTTTTATGGATATGAGAGTTTCACCATTGCAACACGGCAAAGCACTGTTGTAATACATGGCTAATTTGAAAACGCCAAATTAATTACTGGAAAGTGGAAGCCTAAGGACTAAACTGTTCGCTATGAATATCACGTATATGTAGTTAGCATCGAGTTAACCGTTGCAGCCTCTAACCATTGGGGGTATGTTGCGTCGGTTGGCACTGCAGCGTCAGATTAACTTACCGTGGTCTTCTCGAGGCAGCGTAACAAGTGGTGGTGCTGCATCTCGAAGATGTCGTCCTCCTTGTGCCCCTCGATCTCGAGGCCGGCCTCTTGCGCCGCCAGCCGAGCCTCCGAGGCCTTCTTCTTGTTGGCGAACGCCACGCCAGAAGAAGCCTTGGCCAGCTTGATCCTTGCCAATCGTGCTTTCTGTAACACAAACAACGCCCTTGCATGTGGTGACCTGTCTCCTATGATATACGGTCCTAACATGTGGTCAGATAGCCTGAGGGCACACCCAAACAGTCACCCGAGCTCCCGCAGTTACCGCGGCCAAATGACCTTTCAAAATGGACGTGGCTATGCATAAACTCTTTCCAATGGGCCTGGTGCCAGTGTTGCCTCGGAAATAGCCCAAGTTGTAACCGTGACGTCATAGTTAGATGACATTTATTCCTCCGTCGGGACAAAGAATTGTGATTTCGGGTCAAAGCGGGACACATCAGTACAACACTGCAGTGTAGGAAGACAAACAGGAGTCAGTAGCTGGTTAGATGGCCACTGAAACCTTCTCGACAGGACCACCGGCGTGCTCTTAGCTCTGCACCGGTCCTCCGGCGCCCTCCCGCTCGGGATGGACCTACTTAGCGCCGGTCGGGACTGGTTCAAGTCTACAAGACACACAACATCAAAGCAAACGCTAGGCACGCAGCCGTCTGTTGACGTGATCCTACCGCACCCTACCGATTTGTGAGCCACCGGGCCTCTCTCGTCTCGGGTGGACCCACTATAGTGAGTAGTGACTAGTGATGGACCTGCATAAAAGCGCTTCACGACAAATATTGTCTGTCGTAGTGGACTAAGTCGGACTGCAATTTACAGACCAATGGTCATTTGTACATACGATCATAACACAGTTAAGGGTGGCTTGGCTTCTCCGCATGCATAACTATAGTTATATCGTTAGCTTTTTCAGATAATGGCCTTGCTGACTGAAGCTGAACAATGTTATATTTTTATAGAACATGCTCGTTATTTATCTGGATGACACCGCTTAGACTCTGTCGTTTTATTCCAACATTTTAAATTACTATATTTTGCACTGGCGCTGACCAAACTAATGTGCCACCGATAATGTTGGCTCTACAGCGTAAGAACTCGCGGAGCTCAGCGGGGATCGATTCGTCGGCTCCGGGCGACGGTGTGTATTCTCCTTCTAATCGAATTACACCCGACAAACAAGGTTGATTAATTTTCAGCTGCCTAAGCGGTAGCGGTGGCGATGGCGGTCGTAGTGGAGGCTAAGGTGGCGGCGGTGTGGCAGCGGTTGCGGTGGAGGTGTGGCAGCGATTGCGGTGGCGGTGATGACGGCGGCTGCGGTGCTGATGATGACGGCGGTTGCGGTGCCGGTGGCAGTTGCGGTATGCGGTCTTGAATGGTAAAACCAGCGAAACTATAGCGAGCACAAATGACATTGCAGATATGAAGCTGAGACCACAGATTTACATACCTACCTCACGATATGGGACTGGGGCGCGGATTGCAGTCACAGATATCAGAAATAACAGCAACGTTTGTACATCATGGTACTACTCTCTGGAAGCCAATACAGCCAAGACCAACACGGGTTCAAGTCTACAAGACACAGAACATTAACTCAGGCGGTAAGCAGCACTAACCTTTTGCGCCTTGCGTTTGTCGGCGCGCTGGCTCTGGTGGTAGATCCGGCTGAAGTTGGAGACGATGACGGGCACGGGCAGAGCGATGACGAGCACGCCGCTGAGGGAGCACACGCCGCCCACCAGCTTCCCCATGGCCGTGCTGGGCACCATGTCACCGTACCTGCCGACACAGAGGTGGACTGATGAGAACACTCATCAGATTCCTACGGAGTCCAGTCAGAAGTCAAGACAACATGCAATTTGCAATTCTATTGATGTTGAGAAAATGTGCAAGTCACTTCTGAACAAAACATACCGTTCTTTCGAGAAATTTTATGGACTCGTGAGCAGCTCGACGATAAAAGCTAGCTTATGGGGTCAGCTGTAATGGTACGGGCATTGTTCAACACGGAAGTAGGAGAGACTGTGAGGATAACAGACCTGACACGGCCTCGTCGCCCATTACTACGGACTGCGATTTCGGCCGACATCCGTGACTGTCACAACAACACATAAAGCCAGACACTTCAATAAACCTCGCTGACGTGCATTGTCTCCGAGGAGGAGGGACGGACGACTGTTTACAACCGAGGGCTATTTGGCCTGTCAGCCCCGCGCCAAAACAGCGCGCCATGGATGCGGCCCCGCCCCGAGAAATGTTCGCACAGACGATTACCTATTTTTACATGTTCCGCACACAGCCTGATGTGTTGCGATTGAAAACTTTGTGGTGGTTTTGTAAAGCAGTGCTATGGCAGAATACTGCTAAATGCCCATTGTTGAATCAACTAACTTCAAATGCCAATTCTGATTTTCACCATTGTATCATCATACGAGACGGGCAGTCCGCTTTCTTTTTAGCCACACCAAAAATGTGCGCCAAAAAACGCACTTTTTAGCACCAAAAATGTGTTTCACCTCAATCACAATTTCCAAGTTGAGCGCTCATTTTTGCATAAAACATTATTATGACTTTTCATGATGTTTCAGACGAGGATACGTTATGTCATTGCATCTCTTTTTAGCATCAATAAGTTTCACAATGAAATAATACAAGTTATATAAATGGCATTTATATGTAACACATGCTCACATCAGCATGATAACAACCGCGTCTGAGTATACCCTATCCAATCTTTTACCCGTATCCTGACGGGCCGTTGGCGTGTGTTTTCGGCTCCTCAGCACTGAAGGTAATCACGATGGTGGGCCACGGCCGATTACTCAAGCGGACCATCCATCTGAACACTCGTTACTGCGGCGCGGCGTGGCGCTACGGCGGCCGCGGCTACGGCCGGCACGGCCGCCCGCCCTGGCGCTCCTCCAAAGCGGCGTGTCATGGGACCGGCGGTTTTATGCGCGCGCGACGGACGCAGTTGGAGTAGCGTGTCCTATACGCCATCAGCAGCGGGATAGGTGTGTGTCGGTGGGACCAAAGCAGTGGTTAGAGCTTGAAGGATGAATAGGCGCCGCAGTCTCGCAGATTTCATTGACAGAATGGAGCACCAGGACCCGCCTCACCAGCGCATGCACGGGTGGAGCACATAATCCACACAAGAGAAACCACGGAACTAACAGCATGTGAAACAAGGGAACCACAGATACGGTGCAATAAAACCCACACTAAAGTTGCAGTGGAGCTGAGCTGCTGGCCGCATGCCGCGCGTCAAGATCCATGTCGATATGTGTTTTGCTGTCTCATGTCCGATGTCTTTGAGCCCCTGTGGTCGCTGCTGATCACCGTTTATGTCAGCCTGATGTGTTGCTGTCCCACCGCGGCGTCCGGTCCCGCTGCGTGCTCAGGTGTATTCTGTCGGCGCGCGACCGGCCCGCCGTCAGCGCCGCTCTCGGTCAGCGCCGCCCGCCACGCTCTCATACACTCAGCCCCGGGCCACGGCAGCCCCACACGAGGATCGAGCTCGACCCCCGCCGTTCCTTTCGCTGTCGACCAATTTACGTCCAGAGTTGACACTTATCGCTCACATTTTGTCAGATTCCTGCCTTCTCCGCGAAAATATTATGCTGCTTCCTGGCTGGCTGGAGAGAAATAACTGGTCTCGTATCGACCTGGCCGCAGGAGAGCGTCTGACGGCGCTACCAATCTAAGTAAACCAACTAATGTAACATTGGAGGAGAGTGAGGTTACGACAGGTCAGGACCAAAACAGGGAGTTACGGGACGTCACCAAATCGCAGTCATTAAAGCCATTAGTGGCCATTGACGTCACAGACGGACATTTAATAGGCCTCATTGAGTAAGGAACATACGCAAAAGGCTTGTAAGCTACCAAAGGTGTTATAAAATGAAGTTAAAGGTAGTGTGCCAGCTTTCCTGGACCGTATGGAGTTAATGGCCCAGATAAGGAGAACCGGATTTTTAGAACTTATCCATACCTTCAAAACTCATGGAAACGTCTTAAATTCTTCAAATTTTGAGTACCCCAGTGCGAAATTCGCCCCGACGGGTTGTCGGTCGTACCCCAACCACATTTCACACCACTATGAACAATAAATGCACACACTGAAATCGCCAGAGGTGAATAAAACTCAAAAGCTGTCACCTACGCGATGTCTAGCTGTCACCAATTTTTTACAAGTAATCTTGAAATAGAATGTACTTTTTTTGGCGTTTTCTCATCACCTTTTTAGGCCTAAAAAAATGAAACTGAGACTAGAATGTGAAAAAACTGACCTTTCAAATTTTGGACTCTGGGACCTTTCAAACTTCGGACCTTTCAGATTTTGGACAACGCATCACCACATTTCAGTGACACAACACAACAAAAATAAATCACTACCACCCAACTTACCTTATAGGTCTGATCGACGTCCTAGCTCATCCTGGCTTCCTGATCCAGTTCGATCAGAATTCAGAACTCACGAAAGGATTGCCAGTTGTCACTGATTCACTTGCCTTTGCTTCAGTAGTCAGAACCAATTATCAACGCTCCTACCAACACCAAGTTTCTGGGACCGATGGTCATGGACCTCACCCCAGTTGTGGCCCAGATGTGACGTCCCCCGTCCCAGTCGCCCGGTCCTTCCCTACTCCGGCGGCGGCCAAGGCCGCGCCGGCCGCCCCGGTCCCCGCCACCGTTCAACCGGCGACGAGCGGGGACGAGCTGTCGCGCTGTCGCCGTTTTTCCTGCGTTGTCTATGGCGCTTCACAACGCACCGGCTGTCACACCGCCGGGATTTTTCAGCCCCAGCTGTCTACAAAGAGACGACGCTGTTAAATTTTTGTGCCGTGGTCCATAGTGGCCGTCTATGGGAAAACAGCTCTGATTTTAGCGGAAACGGACTAGTTATCTATTTTAAATGCATCAACTGAAATGCTCGAATCTGTCTCGTTATGCCTATTGGCTGTCACCTACGCACGCAGGCGAGTAGCAGGGTTTTTTTCACCTCTGGAAATCGCTATTACCGATATGCTCATCCAATCAAGTTTCGATAAACCCGTTCATCATCATCTCCTGCGGTTTCGAACACGCCTGTTAGGTGGTGCGGTAGACCGCGCCCAAAGCCAGGGCCCCGGTAACGTGAGGTAGCCGAGTCGGGGCAGCGTGCGCTGACCCAAGCCGGGGCCGCGCGTCCTCCCGGTGTCATGTGATAACCCGGGGCTGCCCGCGGGGATGCGGTAGACCGCGCCCAAAGCTGCAGCCCCGGCTTGGGTCAGCGCACGCTGCCCCGACTCGGCTACCTCACGTTACCGGGGCCCTGGCTTTGGGCGCGGCTTCTGCTCATACTTTGTGGTGCGGTGGTGGTGCGTCGGGCCGCGCGCTCTGACTTCGGCCAAGAAAAATGCGTCAGCTGATCATTGTCATTTCTGCCACTTGCGTGTGGTGAAATGGGGTCATAACTTAAGAGACGGCTTTTTCATATCAATTATTTTACATAAAATCATATTTCAAACCATAAATAATGTTCGACAGCCAAATAAAAGAAACAATACCAATACAGGCTTACAGTTTAACCCTCGCCCATGTAGGGGGGGGTTGGTGCACCCCCCCCCCCCCCGAGGCTTTTCGGAAATAGTGCAAAAACGGCGGCGCGCAGCGCCGCCAAATTTTGGGTACCTTATGGGGCAAACCTTGCGCATCTTTTGATAAAAAAAATTTGACCGGGTCATGTCAGGTCACGGAGTTATGACGTCACAAAGGGAACAGCCTCCGGCCGGATTTTCACAAACTGAGTGGCAACATCCGAGGTTTCCTGCCGGTGGTACGGACATCGGTTGATGGATCGTGATGAAACTTCCCATGAATGTTGGGGCAAGTATTGGCTATCATATGGTATAAGAAACTTGACCGGGTCAGGTCAGGTCACGGAGCTATGACGTCACAAGAGGAACAGCGTCCGGTACTATTTTTGAAAAGCGCCCGAACCACTATTTTGCTAATTCTTGTCACCTCAATGGGAATATGCAGCAATATTAGCTTCTATATGGAGCAAATGGACCTCCCAAATCCAAAAATACAATCAGATTTCAAAAATTTAAATTTTGGTTTTTCGAATTTCTGCCGCCGACTGTGACCTTGCCGACTTCCGGCGCTCCCAACGCGCCATTTTTAGAGCTAGGGAAACGAAATACATACCAAACGATAGAGAATTGATCAAGGAACACGATAGTGAAGGTTTCAAGTCGATATCTCCGACCGTTTTGCCGCAATCGCCGCGGAAAGTTGAAAAAAGTCTATTTTTCCGAAAATTTGACCTTTGACCGGTCAAAAGTAGGTCAAATGTTGACCTAGGACCAAAAAATATACCACCAATCGCGAGATCTCGGCGAGAGCAATCCGTTGGTCTTTTCCGCTAGGCTCTACGACGCTCCGTTTTCAAACGCCAAGGGGGGGTCGCACCAACCCCCCCCCCCCCCCTGCATGGGCGAAGGTGGCAGATCGCCGTTTACGGGCGAGGGTTAACCCTCGCCCGCACATGCCATTTTCCCATCCTAGAACGCACATGGGGGGGTGGTTGCCACCCCCCGCGCCATTTCGTTCCTGTTGGAGATAGAGCTTAGCAGTAAAGACCAAAAAGATTCTTTGGGAAGAGACGAATCCAATGATACCCAGTTTTACCTTCTCCGGTCAGTCATTGACCTTCCAGGTCAGGTCAAACTAAAAAATATTGCTGTTTTGGGTCACCGTTGGATATCAAGTGTGCTGCTTATCAAATACCGATA